TAAGTGGGAGAACTTGCACAATTGGTGGCTGACTAAATACTTTTTTGCCCCACTGTATGTACAGCCCTACCTAGAAGAGGGGAAGATGAGGCAAGGCAACAGAGCTTGGATCCTACCAAATGGTCTTCAAGAGCATTCAAAAGCACAGAGGCCACTGGATGAGGCTTAAAAGTCTTGACCTAGCAAACCTCCTTGTCTAATAACAGCAGCAAAGATTGCTTCCATGAGGAACAAACTATAAGCCTGGCTAAGGTACTCTCAAAAGTAGGTATAACATAATTCACACCTTACTCTTGGCACTGAGTGCAAATTGGTCATTAGTGTCACTGGCCTTGTGACTGGGCAGAAGTATATACCTAATGTCCATATTGACTGAGATCATAATGGGAAGGAAAAGCCATGAGTGAGTAGGGCACCTGCAGGACAGTGTCTTCATCTCTCTCAGTGATGACTCTAACTTCTTGTCAAGAGATGTTGTCCATTGTGGAACAACTGCATTCTTTCTAATTGGCATGTGTGCCCTTATGCACTTCATATTGATCTGAATATATTAATTACTTCTTCACAAGGGGATGCATTATAGACTTTTATCCTTGCAACCCGGAATATTGCAGTCCCTTCATACCAGGTTAAAACTCTTGCCCCTCATTCTGTTGCAGTTGGCATGTATGCTTGTGTCCCACCTAGATTGCTTTTGTGTATTTCTTGTGCTATTTGTACACTAAATCAGGGTTTTTCAAACTATTCTGCAGAACACTAGGGTTCCACGAAAACTTGATGGAGTTCCCTGAGAGACTAAGGGGGGGAAAACGTCCATTCAACACAGCCAATTTTCTACCACTAGAGCCTTTTGACCGGGGGTTCCAGAAATTAAAAAAAAACAACGAATAGGTTCCACAACTTGAGAAAGCTTGAAAATCCCTGCACTAAATCACATGTAGCGTTGCTAAGAGGAAATGATGCTTTTGTAGTTCTCTTTCTGTTTGGAATTCAACTCAATAGACATGGTAACCATATTGACAAATTTTAGGAATATCCAGACTTCTGTTGGACAATTAAGAAATCTATTCTCTTCAAATATCTAATTTTGCCAGTATTCCCTTGCTAATATAATAACTGCAGGGTAAACTCATCATTAACTATGCATTTGATACAGATACAGTAAAATAAGTTAAATGTAATTAAAGTTAAAAATCTTTCATGTTAATATATACAGACAGTTTTTGGACTACATTCAGAATATCAACTACAGTCGCTATTGAAAGATAGGCAGCTATATAAATAGAATAAAATATAAATAAATAAGTCTAATAACTTCTAAGGTATAATTATTGTAGTGTTCTGTAGCAAAAAGGAGTCCTATACCATCTTAGAGACAATAACCATACTCGTAGACCAAGAAAATGTCATAATAATTTGTAGAATATTTTGTTTTCTTTTAATTTTACAGGAAGATCTGACAACAAAAGACATTGAAGACATAATTGATGAACTGAAAGGTGGAAAAGTTCCAAAACCTGGACCAAGGTATTTTATTTGTACAATAAAATAAATACTGTGAAAAAAACAGAAAAAGAGAAACCAGCCACTAAAACAATCCTCAGAAAGTTCTCAGGATATGTATTTCAGTGTGAGATTAAAGATTTTATTACCAAGACATTTTCCTTTATATGTTCCATGCTAAGCTGGCCTACAAGAAGCTACTTCATTTTTAAGAAGCAGAGAAAGATGTTCGTAGGTGATTTTGCAAAGTAATATCAAATTTTTGCCAAACTCTAGTGGAGATAGACTGCTTTTCTTACATATAAAATATTTTTCTCATTTCTAAATACAGTAACATTCTGTCAGAGCTTAATTTGGCAGCCTTATATCCCCAGATTTATTTAAAATGTTATGTTATGTGACCTTTCTAGGCAAAGTCTCAGCCAAGAATGATCAAGCTATTTTGATTCTGTATAGTAAAAAATAAAGTTAATTAAAATGCTTTTAGTAGTTATACTGCACTGTAACTCATTGATTTGTGATAATCATTTGGTTAATTTTCATCAAATTCTGATGTCTCTTGAAACTTGAGGTTTTTTTAGTTGTTGAGAAACCATTTTCACTTGCTACTTGATGTTAAATTCCGTTGCTCTTGAGAACAAAGATATGCCTATAGGAAACGTGGTAAAGTATTAAAGACAGAAGAGGAAGAAAATCAGATTCATATCCCCATTCCATCATGACAGTTGGTGACTTTGAGCTAATTGTTATCTCTCAGTTTAACTTGCCTCATTGAGATGCTGCAAAGTTAAAATTGAAAAGTTTGGAAAAGAGCCAGTGTATATTAGTATTAATTTTGCATTGATAAAATAATTCATTTTATGATTAGGTAGTCATAGAATCTAATCTTGTGCAGAGTTATTCTGAAGTAAGTCTGATTTCAGTGGGATCATACCCAAGCAAACATGTATAGAACTTCAGTGTAGTCAAAAATAGTATGTGTATATTTGGCAACTAGAAATACAAAAAACTGCATTTCAGTTTCTTTCCATACACATTCTATCTAGTATTGAACTAAAAGATGCTCAGTACAAATCATCCAAAGTTGAAGCAGACTTCTGTTGATGTTTCAGAATGACTGGTATTACACTGAACAATGTCGAATATTGAATTTCTATTCCTTTTCAGAAGTGGACGTTTCTCTTGTGAGCCATCTGGTGGTCTGACTTCTCTGACAGAGCCACCCAAGGGATCTGGCTTTGGAGTTCGAGCAGATCTTTAAAACTGTTGTTCTAAGTGTAAGAAATTGTTGAGAAAATAAATTGTAAAATATGGACAGATGGAAACTCAAGTTTACATTGATGTTATTTTAGGACACCTACTAAATATGTGTATTTTATTTACTAGAAACAAGAAATGGAAGAAATCCAAAAATTCCAGTTACACAGAAACAGCAATGTAGATCAACTACATTTATAACCTGTTAACAAAGCAGTTATATCAATATCTCACTCCTTAAATTATATATAACACATCAGTGGTGCATAAAATGAATGTAATGGGAAAGATAGCATGTTATTGCTCACCGATTAGGATCATGCTGCATAAAGAGGATTTTGCAAACAGAAATGAAGATCTCTGGCATCCCATAATACAGATTCAGTGGTACACTGAGGAAATAGTCACAATGCTGTAAAGACAACTTTATGGAGATACTGGTACAAAGCTCTGAGAATGTTAAAAAAAAAATGTGGTTCCTAAATAATATCCTAATAAAAATACATATCTACTGTTAAATGAGAAGGCAAAGCTAGACTAATTTTAGTCCCTAAAAGAGGAGGTCCATGACTTGGGAATCCTCCTGGACTCACAGCTAGATGGGCAGGTAGAGGCTGGGGCCACGGAAGCCTTTGCCCAGTTCCAAATAGCTTCACACCCCTACCTGGAGCAAAAGAATCTTGTGAACATAATTCATACCCTCACCTCCATTTACCTAGAGGATTAGAATGCTCTCTACATGGGACTGCCATCGATGAGCATTTGGAAACTTCAGTTGGTCCAGAATACAATGGTTGGGAACCTGCTGATGCGAGTATATTGTACCTGTGCTTTGGGTCTTGCACTGACTCCCTATTAGTTTTGAGTGCATTTAGAGTTTTGATCTTGAAGATACTGTCTGGCTTAGCAGCAAAGTACTTAATTAATGCCTTCTCTGGCCAATTTTGGATGTCCTGAGAAAACCTGCTTATAACCCCCATTTAAATGAGATGGGGGGTGGAGCCTCCCCACAAAAAAAAAATTGATCTGCCCCCCCGTATTGCCTTTCCAGAGGCTATTCAAAACTGAGTTGGTCTGGAGAGCCTTTCAGGAAAGAACTGACATCACAGTAACTGATTATTGTGTTATCCTTTGTTTTTATTATTCTCTTACCATGGATGTATTATTGTATTTCTAATGATGTGTGTGAACCACTAAGAGTCTTTTTAATTGTGGCAGCATACAAATTAAGTAAATAAATGTTATAGCAATATGGCATAACTACCTACCAATTAATGCCAACTATAGCCATTTTTGAAATAAGTATCCAGTGTAACTGACAACCAAAAATTTAAAAATTTGACAAAGCAGTCACTCTTCCAGACAGTAACAGGAGTTCTTGAAAATATGAAAAGATAAAAATCCAAATTCCCAAGTCTGAATATATAGTTTTTAATATCATCTTGGAGAAGTTTCTTACAATTGTAGATAAATCTATTTGATCTTTTGCTTTTCCTGGCTTCTTTATATTTGGTTCAATCATCTCAGGCTTCATTCTTCAGGCATACATACAGGCACACTAAGATATCATACACTAATATGTAGACAATCCTGCTTCACAATTTATGAGATTTTATCTTATGTATATTAAATTGTAAAATTTAAATTGTGTACACCACCCAGTCACATATGTGAGATGGACGGCTATATAAATTTGATAAATAAATAGATAAATTGAACAAAAGTTATATTTTTTTAGAATTTCAGATTGGTAGCAAAATGACTTAGAATCATCATCTCAATAATGATAGACTAAAAAAACCAAACTGTAGATCAGATAGTGAGATACAATGAAAGAACTAAGCAATAAAATTTTATTGCATATTCCTCCAAATAAGATATTTTGGAATTGTTTAGTGGCATAGTTAGAACCTTTGATTCTTCTTCTGCTGCTTGCCATATTTCTAGAGATATTCTAGCAATTCCTGCAGCTTTCTGACTTGGTAATGACCAGAGTATGATCTAACTTCATCTTCTATTAGAGTTTCTTGTAAATAGGGGAAATCTTTTAAGGTATTTTGAATGCTGACATATCTACTGTATAGAATTTCAGTACGCTCCTTACATCTTGCTGATCTTTGAATTAGTTATCCTTTAGTATACCACATCCTTCTAAGTTCAGAGATCTTTTGGAAGACTTTCTCTGGTTTTCCATAATCTTTTTCTATTTCCAATGTCTTTACAGATGTCATTGTAATACTGCTTCTTGTGTCTTCTAACCATTCCCTGAAATTCTTCATTAAGTTTCTTCCTAAGATCTCAGGTTTTCTGAGTTTCGGCTTTTCTGTTCTTGGCAATTTCCATCTTCTGTTCTGACATGCAGTTTTGTTTTATCTTTCTTTTACAATATGCTTTTCATATTAATCCTTAACTTATTTGATATCATTCTTTAGTTCCTCTAGTTCCCTATCAATGAGGTTCGGGACTTCAAGGCAATTTCTGATGTTCTCTTTGGAAATGGTGGGTACATGCTCAGGATCATATCATAGAAATTGGTTGGCTTTGTTCTTTCACTTTACCTTGACTTAGAACTTGTACATGAGCAGTTCATCTGTTCTGCAATCAGCCCCTGGCCACATTTTTCTGTTATAACAGCTTCCCAGTTATAGTCTATTTAATTTCTGTGTGCTCTGTCCATATATGTAGGTGTTGTTTTGGTTGTTTGAAGAATGTGTTAACAATGAAGAAATTATTAGATTGTCAAAAGCTGGTAAGTTGTTCTGTTTCAGTTCTGTTTCCTAGGCCATACAGTCCAACAATGTTTTCCTCCTTACTACTTCCAACTCTGATATTCCAACCATAAGCAGCACATCTTGCTCACACATTGTTGATTTTAGATTGAGCTCAACTATAACATTCATTAACCTCCTGTTCTGTATCAGTGATTGGAGCAGGGTTGTCTCTGAAGTGTAAATGATATTATTTTGTCAGTGATTGTACTGTACCCAGTACTGTCTTTGCTGAAATCTTCCTATGAAATAAATGCCATTCTTTGTTTTTCATGTCCTGAGTAGCAAAAAATTAAAAAATGATCTGATTGAAAGTATCCAATTCCAATCCATTTCATCAGTTATGGATGAAAGATGCCAATGTGTAGTTGATTCATTTTATCTTTCACTGTCTTGAGCTTTCCCATGTCCATGCTTCTTATGTTTTATGTTCCCACTGTAATTCTGTCTTTGCAGCTTCATATTTTATATTCCTACATAGCAACATCAGCAACTAGACGCCCAGAAGTCTTCAATCTAGCTATATCATAAACAGCATTAGTGCCCCCAAAAAACCCAGCTGTTCCTCAATAGCATATTAAGTGCCATTTGGCCTGAGGGGCCCATCATCTGGCATTATATCATCAATCAGTTCATTTTGTCTGTTCATGGGCTTTCTTGGTTAAATATAGGAGTGATCTACCATTGCCTTTTCTCATACAGTATGAAATAATGTGTTTGCAGTTGTCGCTAAAGCAATCATCCATCTCCCTATATCACTGCTTCCTGATACATAGGTGCCTGCTTGCTTTAACAGGGCAGCTAGGATGACCTTCACACCTTGGATTTATTCATCTCTTATCCTCCTAAGAACAACTACAAATCCACTATGATGAGGCAGCATAGCTGGACTTGGAGGATACACATACATGATCTTCAACTTAATATAATTTTTCTTTGCCTTATTCCAAATGAATTTTGAGTTTGGTATGAATAGCTACAGATTCTCAAACTAAATCCAGTTCATCAAATAGACTGCCCTAAAAGAAAAATGTTATTGGAAATTTGTTTTTAAGGTCAACAACTTGTGCACTACAAATTCATCTAATATATATACGTCTGTATGTATGTGTATGTGTGTATGTATGTGTGTGTATATATAGAGGGAGGGAGGGGGAATATGAATTTGATAACCAGGGGCTAATTCAATATTCCAAATATATCATTCCTTTTCTTTCATGAATAACACCTAGAGGATTCCCTAGTTTTGCCCTATTTTCTTTTCATCTGAAAAATGTTTTCTTTAGTGATATGTCATATTTTAAAAGTAGCAATCTTTAGAAAACTATAATTAATGACATCTTTCGGGCCAAGCCTAAAGTAGCTTTAAGTCAATATTAGTAGCACAGCTAGAGTAGTGTTTAATCACTATTGTGATTAAACAATCATAATGAATAGTTGCTGTCATTGTGTTCCCATTAGATAAATAATCTGTTGATTGAAATAGCAGTTAAACTTTAGCACATAAAACATTAAAGTAGATTTCTGGCATCATCATTCCATTTGTTCCCATGAATTTAATATTTTATAGATTGTCTTCCACTCAGAATCTAACCAATCCCAATGTTACATAGCTTAAAGCAAACTGCATTCATTAATCACACAGTGTGATGTATGTGACTACCTTTTAGGAACAGATATAAAATTATCAAAATTTTTGAAATAAAAAATGGAATATAAGGAATTTAGCATGTCTTAGTTTATTAAAGATTCTGGCTTATGGCCACTGCTGCTCTGATACATGACAAAAACCATTTATGGTACTGCTTTCAGTTACACCTGGGATCTGAAGCAGCAGAAAGAAAGAAATGGGAGAAAAGAGTTGAATTGCTAAGCATATATTCAGAAGAGATGCTAATATAAGCTTTAATCTTGTTGTATGTTGACAGAACAACATTCTTTATTATAATGTTTATTATGGCCAAATGTTTATTATAGCAACTATGCTTCCTTTCCTATGCATCCCCTACACTACAGAATTAGAGGATCCTCTGCACATAAGGGGGGGGGGTCAGAGAGAAACAAAATGAGAAATCCATGTATTGTGGAGGTGTAGAAAAATGGCATGACCTAAGGATATATTAAAAAAATCAGTATTTTAGATTAAACTCAGTAATTTAAAAAATCTGTAAGCTAATGGATCAAACTGTTCAGCACAATAGTATGTCTTCATTTCTCCTTTTCCAAAATAACAGTTCACTAAATCTTTTAAAGAAAAAAATAATGCTTTGAATTATATTCAGTTGTGTCTAGGAAACAGACCCCC